GTGGTGAATGTATATATGAGTATGAGTGTGATGTATTTGTATGTATGTGTGATGTATGTGCGTATGTGGGTGTATGTGGTGTATGTATGAGAGAGATGTATATGTGTGTGTGTGGTATGTATGTGTGTGGTGAATTTATATTGTGACTGATGTATTTGTATGTGTGTGTGATGTATGTGTGTATGTGGTGTGTGTGTGTGTGTGTGTGTGTGTGTGTGTGTGTGTGTATGACGTATGTGCACTTGTCTACATGTGAACAGAGGCACATAAGTGGAGTTCAGTGGCCACTTCAGGTTTCAGCTCCGGTCTTTCATCTTGATATTTTGGTGCAGAGTCTCTCATGTTATTAACACTGCTGCTCATGGCCAGTCTCCACGGCTTTCTGAATTCTCCCCTCTGCCTCCCATTAACTAATTAATAAGTTAATAAACTAACTAATAAGTTAATAACGTTCTTTCAAACACCTTCTACAGTCACTTTTGAATGCTTTGAACTTATTTATAAAGACAGAATTGATTGACAAAGTGTGCAAACAGTAACTGTGCCTGTTCTTCGCATTTAATAATCAGTGTTTGATTCATCTTACCAAAAGGATTGCGAATTTCAATCGCGGGAGAAGGGCCACTCAGGGACACAGTAACTTCTTTGAGGCTGGGATCAAATGGAATTTTCCAAGTATTTACAGCCTGATGCAAGTGATCGGTGGATAAGAGGTGAACCTTGGAGGCCTGAACTGCTTCTTCCACCCACTTCAGCACCTGTAAGAGGGAAAGAAAGGTTTGCAGGTTACCCCACTTCCGGCTCAGGACCAGGTTCAGTGAAGCGCTGAGTGGGAGGCACCTCCTGCGCATGTGCGAGGCTTAGCTCAAAGCTCATCCTGAAGGGCACATCTTCCTCTCTGCCTGTGTGTGTTGTCATCTCAAAATAAAACGCTAGTTTAACCTGCGTTCTAATTCCAAGTTTTCCATCTTGGATTAGTATTAACAATTAAACTTCCGGGTTAAACCCCATGAGGAAAAACCCACAGGGGAGGTCCAACTAATCTTCTATATGTGAAGGTAATCTGCTTTTAAAAAGGGATCTGTTCAGGATTTTGTTCATTCTAGGCACAATTTTAAAACCATATCACTTTAGCAGACTGTCAAGTGGAATTTGGGTAGGTTTAATATTGTAAATAATATGAAAGTAGTCTCAGCATGCTGTACTATTCTACTTTTGTAAAAAGAGTTGCAGTGTCAACAATATAGTCCTTTCTTATGATAAAATGAATAAATACCCTAGATAATGGGGAAGGCAACCAATAAATTTAAAAAGAACAGAAAAATATTTCAGCTTCAAATCAATTCAAGGAGTGCATAGAAAAGTAGTCCTTGTTACAGGAATACATTACAAAATTTAATTCTAAAATGGTGTGAACATGGCAAACATCAACTTCACATAATTTTTACAACAAACACAATCTCCCATTAGACACATGGTGCGTGTTTAGCTGAGTACCAATTCACCAATCTTAATTCAATCAACTCTCAGTCATGACCACGTTTGTCTATGTCACATCAGTGTCTGACTTACCCCTTGAGATCTTAGACCTCCTTGCAGTTAGGCACCGGACCCTAAACAGAACTGACTCCTAAGCAAAGTTAAAGTGTTCAGAAACATTTCTTAAATTTCAATGTAAGCAGTCATAAGCTAAGTAATCAGGCAACAATACTGAACACTTTTTATTTACAATTAAAACATTCTTTTCATTTTCCTTACTGTTTTTCCCCCTAAAGAGCATGAAAAAAAAGGGAAGACATATTAGTACAATTAGCAATGTGAGACGGTTATGTTCATTCTAAAAATAAATGTGTGTTGTCTAAGGTTCTCTCCCAGGTACTTTGTATTGGTGGAAATACTTTTATTCAGTATTTAGTAATAGCTCTTCTCTGTACTAGCATTTGCTGAATTTTTTGATTTTATTATATATCATTTACTTTTCACACATACACCTGCCACTGTTCCAGATTTAAAAATCACACATATTTCTGTGTGTATCTAAAACCAGATGGTGTGTGATACAAACATTAAAGGTGACCTGTGTATTAATGGTAAAGAGATTGGTTATTATAATGATAAAATTTATGTATTTTGTTTGTTGAGATAATGTCTCAGATATCCCAGCTGGCATTGAACTCACTATAGAATTAAGACTTGCTATAAATTCTGATCATTCTGCTTCCACTTGCAAAATGATAGGATTATAGACATAAAAACCACCACCACTGCCAGCTTGATATTCTTCTTAAATAAGAGGATGCAGGAGGAAACAAGGTACGCTTGCTGAAATATGGGAGCACCATCACACTACCCCCACATAGCTGACACTAAAATACTAGTTTGTACTTCCCCAGATAAATATTCTTTTCTTCCTCTGATAAGGTTTCAATAAAAATGTCACAGGCAAATAAAACAATCTGTGAAAGACAAGTGGTTTCGATAAATAAAGAAAAAGGCAAATTCATACTAGGTAGCAGGGAGGGTATGAAGAAATGTACAAAAAGACTACAGATAGGCTAGAAACAGGAATGACTCCATCTCAGGAAGTGTTCAAATACATGACAAGCTGAAGAATTCAAGGCAGCACACACCAGAGACACTGCATATCCTTGTTTATTGCAGTACTGCTCACTGTAGCACAGATGAATGGAAAAAGAAAATGCAGCATGCATACCCAATGAAATTTTATTCACGAGGGAAAGCAACTAAAATTGTGCCATTTTCAAGAAAATGGATGGAACTGGAAGATCATTGCGTAAAGCATAAATCAGCCAAACTCAAAGCAAATATCACACGCTTCCATATGTGCTAGCTATAACACACACACACACACACACACACACACACACACACACACACACACACCATGAAAATGGACTATGCAGGTGATGAAGGGGTCTGAAGATGGAAATGAGAATAAAGGATAATGAAGGAAGGAAAGACAAATATTGCTTGTTTTTCTCATATGTAGATTTTAGATTTAAATACACACACATTCATGCATGCATGACACAAAAGTAGAAAGAAGCCTATAGGGACACAGAAAGGGACCGATAGGAGAGGAAATGGGAGAAAAAGGAAGACACTGAGGGGGAAAATGTTAACAAAGTAAACTCACATGTGTGTGTGTATATATATATATATATATATATATATATATATATACCACTGAAACTGTTCATTTGTACACTTAACGAAAACGTAAAAGAACTGGGAGAGATGTTCCTATTACCCATCTGTCTTGTGGCAGTATGGGTGGGGGAGAGCTCCCCCACACCCTCACCCACCTATCAATGCCTGTGGCAGGTAGGAAAGCTGGCCCTGTGGTCAGAAGAGTGGGAGAGCCGTCCCTGACCCTCATCAGGTGCAACATTTGGGAGGGCAGGCCCTGCACATCACCAGAGTGGCACAATAGAGTCAACCCCATTAGCACAGGTGTGGAAGAGCCAGCCCCCAAATTGTGAGCGTTTGAGAGCAGTCCCAGTTTCTCATCTGTCTTATGGTGGCATGGGTAGGGGTGAGATGCCCTCCCCTGACCCATTAACCCCTGGGGCAGGTGGGAGAGTTGGCCCTGTGGTCATGAGAGTGGGAGAGCTGTCCCTGACCCCCATCAGCTATAATACTCAGGAGAGCAGGCCCTGCACCTTGCCAGGGCAGCACAAGAGAGCCAACACTGTTAGCACAGGTGTTCAAGAGCCAGCCCCAAAATTGTGACCATGGGAGAGCTCTCCCCATTTCCTATCTGGTGGACCAACCCTACAGCTGCTCAGGCCCAGACCCAGGGTGATGACTTGGCCTGCCCCAACATCCACCCCATCTATGATCTGCTGGAACATGGGAAGGGACCTGAACCACAGACCCAAAACTGCATGATCTCCACAACACAGGGCGGCAGCGGGATGTCCAGGAAGAGTCCTGGTGGGGACCCAGCATGGGACATATGATGGAGACCAGGGGCCTTATATCAGAGCAATGACTCTTTGCAATGAACACCTGCAAGTAGAGACATTTGGAGAAAGAGGTATATGGAGTGACTTGTTGGGTCTCACTGTAGCTTCCATGATGAGATTTTTTTTTTATTTTTTTCCTATTTTTACCTTTTTATTTTCTTCGTTTTTTATCTTGAATTTTGTATTGTTGAGGGGGGGAGCGTATAGTGGTGGAGGGCAGATATGAAGGGATGGAAAATGAATGGGATCAAGATACATGATGTGAAAGATACGTAGAATAAATAAATAAAAAGGATGGACAAAAAACGTAAAAGAACAGTGACGTTGGAAGCATCCCATAAATATGTGTTCATAAGTTGAGACGAGGCCTTTGGATTTCTTCACAAAGCTCCTCTTGAAAATTACTAACATACTTAAAGTAGGAGAGTGAAAGTAGCATATTTCAAAGAAAACTTTGTCATGTCATAAATGAATTCAAAAGAACATGTGTTCCATAAATCAAATACTGTATTTCCTCCAAGTTTAACCTCATAAAGCACCTGTATTTTCCATATGAAATTACAAATACACCAACACAACTTTGCGAAGAAGCAGACGCTATGACCTGGAGAGTTTTTAGTAATCCTTCCTGATTGAAGATGAAAGAATGACTGGTTCAGCTCATCACATCTCCCCACATGACAACAGACACCAGGCCGATTGTAACTAAGATTGGACATCTCTAGAACATATGAGGTAACAATCAGTGTTGACATTTTTATGAAAAGGGCTGTAAAGATTTGCTTTGCTCCAGAAAAAAACAAAGGACTGATTTATTGTCTGGGAAAGCAATCAATAAATTTAAGAAATAATAAAAATCTATCCACAGTCTGACAAGGGAAAAAGATGGAAAGAAATTGGGCAAACCAAAAGAACATCTATTCTACAGGAAAGACCAGCATGGTTATAACTAGTTCACAACTAAAAAGTGGGAAAGGCTTAGGGATCAAGGACCACTGAAAGTCCATCACATCTGTCAAGGATGCAGGGAAAGGAAGGAATCCACATACAGTGCTGGAGAGACTGTCCTGACCATGGGACAGGCAGAACTGGAGAAAACTCCAGCTACACAGTGCAGCCTCTCTGGATATCAGCACAGGAATTCTTTTTTTTTTTTTTTTCAATCCTAAAATATAGAACCGCCATATAATCTAATGACCATATAACTCACTCTTAGGTATATTTCTGAAATAAATCTAAATAAGCATATCACAGGGATTCCTGGACATCCATGCTCATTGCAACACTGGTCACCATTAGCATGCTGTATAACAAGCCTATATACCAATCGGCAGATGAATAAAGACAACGTGGCACTTATGCACACTGGAATCTTCTTCAGCTGAAAAAAAAAAAGTGAAGTTATGACATTGATAGGGAAATGGATGGAACTTGAAATCATTATACTGAGTGAAATAAGATTCCTAAAGATAAATATTATACCTATTTCTCATAGATACTTAGTGAAAGACCCCAGCATACTTGCTTAGCCTAACGACATTTTGAGCAGGGCCTGAAAAGTACGGGGAAAGTTCAGTTAGAGGACATGGGCACAGGAACAAACAGGGTATCTACGGTCGGCCACCTGGCCCCAGAACAGGGTACTAAAGGTCAGAAAAACAACTTGTAACCAAGTCAGCAGGCGTGTCGAGCTCGGGGAAAAACCACGAACTGTCCTGAGTTTGAACCTGGCCTCATATGAATCGTCCAATCAGAACTCTGTAAACCAT